CGAGGTGACGGCTCCTGAGCTAACTGTAGGCAGACCGTGCTACAAATAATACTCTACCAAGTAGTCGTACGAATAAACTGAACCGATTGTAAAGATAAAGGGTCTAATCAATACATTTTGGGCGAGACAAATGTTCAAAACTGTGAAAAACTAAGTTCTGACTGGTTGTTGGACACAAGATCGCTGGGCACATTGAGTAGCGTGCGAGGTCGGTCTCCTGTCCCCGCGGTGTTAGCTTGCATGGTTGCTGTCTGCATCCACTATGCGGGTAGCACAGGCTGAAGGTTCCGTGTGATGAATAGTATATTCGACTTAGAGATTTTCCGACAGAAGTGTAACAGGATACAGGCACGGTGTTAAAGCAAACCAAGTCGAATATACTATTCATGATCTACGCCTCTACACTAATGAATATATAACGCAACTAATAAATTGTAGCATTCATTCACTACATTCCCTGTAACGGGAATCCTCTATCTTAGCTGAAGCCCTTCCTCAGCAGCGATAGAGTCGAAATAATTGAGAAAGGAATTCCCCAAAGCTAACCTTTCATCGAGTCTCCAGATGCATGGGGTGCAGAGCCAAGCCCTGGCGCTACATTCACTAACATTATAGACGATTATTGAACACGTTATCCCGCCATCCATCGTTGAGCTTAGTGGGGACTGCCGCTGCTTAAGTCTCTGAAGAGTAAGAAGAACGCGATTCGGACAGCAAAAGGGGATCCCCACAGTTAAGTGCAGTTGCAGAACACTGCACTTGGCGTGTAGGAGAGTGTGTAGGCTGGCACCTTACTGATGTCCTTGATATAGTTGACCGTGAAGTATTGCTGCGTAAACTGGCAAAACCACCGAATAACCTTACAGTCGAAGGGACTGAGGGCGCTCCCCACACGTCATCAGCTTACTGGGCCCACAGTACCGCTAGTTTTATGGTTTCACTACACCCCATCGTGAGGGAACTTGGATCCCTACTAGGTCTCACAATTGTGCTTTTTCAGCTGCGTTTGCGTTGTCATTGGGAGAACAAAAGTGGTGCATTTTTTGACGAGAGTGGGAACAAGCTCAGAGGGCCCTATGATCCTTAAGGCCCCAAACTCCCGTTAGTCTAGCCGTCTGAAGGGAAGTTTTCCACAGGAACTGTCATCGAAAGGAAAATCCGTAATGCTGTTGCTGGTGGCAATTCAGGGAGAAATTGCAAAGGTAAGACGTGCTCGAGGGATAAAGCTGCAGCGGGCTGAACGGTCCTCGTGAATGCAGCAGCGTCCAAANAGGTAAGACGTGCTCGAGGGATAAAGCTGCAGCGGGCTGAACGGTCCTCGTGAATGCAGCAGCGTCCAAAAGTCAGCCATACGCTTTTTGCAGCGCTTACATTTTTCACCTGCTGTATTCGGCTATCATGTAATTGCAATTGTCGCTTACCTGTGCGCCGATAGGCAGACGAATACGCTGGCATTCAACAGTCACTTCAGAGACGACAGATATAATGCATCTGAAACCCTATTAAGCGGATTCGCGTACGGCGAGTGAATAAGAGACACAGAGCTAGCCACTGGGTGGAGCCTCGATATCCATTAAAAATGCTTTTCAGTCAGAAGAGCGGTTAAGATTCTCGACTCCTGAATAGATCGCATCAGACCCGTATCTCTACGACGAAACCACGAGCACTATTGTTCACAGTTATCTAAGCGGTTCCATCCGGGCTTGCTGAGTAGCAAACTTCAGGCTCCTGCAAGTCATACAAAAAAGGACGGCGATTTGCAGCGTACTATGCTGCAAGGCCTCTCCATTTCTCATTTAACTACAGCCGTTAAAAGCATGCGCATTTGATCCTCTCAGAGCATTCTGTCACATCGACGACGAAAAGCGGGCTCAGTACACTACATTGTGAATCTTGTTTCCTTTAACTTCACGGTTTGGAGGGACCATTCAAGATAAAGTATTCGTTTAACATTCTTTTCCAGGGAGAAAATTTAGAGCTGCATGCAGTTACGGTCATGATTAGCGTAGGTGGATAATAACTGAAAGATGCCGCTCAGCTCCTTCTGGCGGGCATCTTTGCCCGCTGGCCGATGTCATGTACCCTTTGGTTTACTCGTTGCTTGGGTTTGCAAGAATGAGCCAACAATCTTCGCACTTAGTAACAGCTGTTCATACTGCCCTTGACTACGTAAAACTACCTGCATTGAAGCCACAGAAAACGACTAGTAATTTTTTTTGTCGC